CAGAAAATTCTGCAGGAGGAAGCGGCACCACCGCATACAGTTCGTTCACTTTGAGCTTGCCGTATCCTTTGCGCACGCTGAGGGCGTACGCCTCTGCGGCGGCAACGGCATCCGCATCAAGCTGTGCCTGCGCAGTGCGTGCACCGGCAGACGACAAGGGCAGTGCCCGGTCATCAGCGAAATCGCTTGCGGCCGCCTGCGTGGCCGGAAGCGGCGGCCTAGCTACCGACACGGCGATAGCCGAGACCGGCGGTTCCTGTGGCAAAATACGTTGGGAGGGCGTTGGTACCATTCCAGAAATCTGTGCCGTCTCCGTTGTCACAACGGGGGCGGGGGGCGGTACCTCTGGTTTCACATTAGCAAAAGATGCATGCGAGGGCAAAGCGGAGGCTATTGATGGTGGCTCTGACTTTACGAACGGCACCGGATGTTGTGGCATCACCGGCGGCTGCGATACCGGCGGCATCGGTGGCACCGGCGGCACCGGTGGTACCGGTGGGTGCGGCGCCGACCGCTGCGGTTCTGGCGGCGGCGGCGGCTGTGGTGTGTGCGGCACCGGCGGCGGCGGCGGTAGCAGCACCGACGTCTGCAGCACCGACGGCTGCGGTACCTGCACCGGCGGCTGCGGCATCTGCGACGGCGGCACCGGCGGCACCGTCCTCTGCAGCGGCGGTACCGGCGGCGACAGTATCGACAGCGGTGACACCGGCGATGGCAGTCTTGACGACGGCACGTCAAAAGCCGCTACCGACGGCGACGCCGTCGCCGACGGTTGTCGCTGCTGGGGGAAACTCGACAAAGACATGCGATGCAATAGCTGCCGCGCACGTTCTAGCTCAAGCTCGGGGTGGTCAACGATAGGTTGAGTCGCTTTAGCCGACGTCTCAACGATGTGGGGCGGCATAGCACTAGCCGGGGGCATGGCGGCATCAGACATGCGGGCGGAAGCGACAGTAAGCGGGTCCTGTGGGATAGTCATCTGCCATTGTTGACCCCCAGGACCAATGGACGGCGGCTGCAACGGGTACGGGTTGCCGAGCGCATCTACAGCCCACGGCTGCTGAAAGCACGGTATGTTTATGTTGCTATACCATACTTCACTTGCTGCTGCTCGGACCATAGTAGGAGAGACGAGTAGGTCCGTGGCTGCCACAAGCCTCTCCCCCGGCATTGTGGTGACTACCTCCCCGGTCCTTCCGATTACCATCTCCGCTGGCGTCCCGATGGGCATCCGTGCATCCGCGGGAGTCATGCCCTCTCGAACGGCCTGCATCCTGCCTGCCGTACTTTTGTGTATGCGGGCGGTCGTGAGTACGAGAGGAACGTTGGGACCCAGCAGACGCAGATGTGCCCCACCCGGAAGGTTCCGAAGTTTGCCCCCCCCTCTGAGAGCGGAGGCCCCCCGAACCCCCCGAACCAGACCTCGAACGTGCAGAAGTGTCCACGTCCGCCTCCGAACATGCGGAAGTGTCTACATCCGCCCCCCGCACACGTCGCAGATCAACCACCAGCTGCTCAAGTCGCCGACGTTTCTTGGACGACCAAAGGGAGCTGCTGTAAAGGAGGCTTGCAACCGTTTTACGACGCTGAGAAACGAGATCAACCGAGATCCTGTACACTAGTGCAAGGCCAGCATCCTTAGCTTCTGACGTCACAAAAAGGCTGGTGTTGACGAACTCGATGAAACCGTCGATGTTGAGACCTAAAATTCTAGTGTCGAGAGCAATAGACTCGAAATCACCTGCATCAGAAGACGATGAAGACGATGAAGACGAGCTGGACGAAGAGGTGCCTGAAGAGGACGAGCTGGACGAGTTTTTGCTAGGTTTGCGCCGTTTCCTGACGTGTCCCACTGGTCGGCTGGCCGAGATGGTAGAAATCACGGAGGTGATCGGTAATTCGGGTGGCTCAGTTCTTTGTGTTGGGAGGGTAGAGCGGGTAGCCCATGCCGGGACGTGGGTGGGTAGGGACGTGTTGGGAAAACGTATTGAATTCTTCCGGGGCGTGCTCGCGCTCGTAAATCTGTCACGGCATCAAGCACGCGTCACGCTCATCACGCTCAAACTACCAAACGGATCTCTCTGTGCCTCCATCAAACTCTTCTCACGTCCAAGGAAAATACCTAGAAAGTTCTCATTCCTCCGCCTATCATCACTGCAATTTCCGTGCGTGCGTACCGAAGATATCCCGTCATACAATGCTACGAGTACCCCGAGTATATCGAATAGCCCCCCTGCTCGTATGCATCGTCATGCTTCGGCAAAAATCAATCTTACTCTCTTCTTTACCATCATTTCCAAAACAAGAAAAATTCCTCCAAGACAATCTCAAGAAAAACCTCAAACAAAACTAAAACTCCTCCAAAACAATCAAGAAAAATCCCAACACAACTCCAACACTCTTATCACCTTCACCAGACTCTCTCTTTCTGTTGTCCAATCTCGTCTCTCTCTCCCACTACAGAACACGAATCGACCCCAAAACACTCCCTTCACTGCAATTTCATCACAAAGTCACGGTGCAACGCTAAAGACTCCTTGCTAATAGCCTTCAAGAAATCTGCATGCTGAAATTGCGTCGGCACATGAGTAATTGAAATCTCCTTCCTCTCCACCAGCTCCCTGATAAAGTGATGCCGTACATCGATGTGCTTCGAGTTAGAGTTCGTGATCGGGTTGTTCGCAATCTGAATCGTTCCCTGGTTATCCTCGAACACCGGGATGCACGACGTACCCGCATGTGGCACCAAAAAACGCCACACCTGCCTCAGGAACAGCACTTCTTTCAAGACATCGGCAATTGCGACATGCTCTGCTTCCGTGGTGGCGTAACGCACTTCTGCGTTCGTGAAAACCAAGTCACACCCCCCCACACACACATAACTAGCCCCTGAGACACCGACCTTCGGTCTGCCGCCTTGCTTGCATAGTCGGTATCCACAAACACCTGCATGCTCGTCCCGGTCACCACTCCCCTGTTAAATGCATTCCCCATCCAACTCGTCCTCCGTACGTAACCTCAAATACCGAGTGCTGCCTTCCAGTGCACTATCTTGGGAGATGCACATTACCGCGCTACTACTGCTCGCACTCCATTCGCGATGTCCTGCCTTGTTTGAGTGGCCAACCACATCAGAGATCCTACCATCTCGCGAAAAGGGACATCAGCGCACGCTTCGTTCTCGTCAAAGTCGGTGAGCTTCACGCTCACAGGCAAGGGCACACTCCTCCCCCACTCAATGCCGTACTTTGCAGCCAACACGTCGGCAACCCTCTGCTGCGAAATCCTCAACAGGCCCCTCTCTACGTCTCTCTCGTAAAAACACGCGGAGTACCACCTCAACACTCCAAGGTTCTTCACGGGAACCATCTCGTTGAGATCCCTGCCAAACTTATCACACCTCTCCTTCTGCCCTACAGCAAAAATGTCATCCACGTGAACCACGATGATCATGATCACACGTCCCTCGTCCATCAATCGAAAAACACATGCATCTGCCATACACTGCAAAAAACGTAAAAGTAACAAACACCTCGTCAGGTGCGCATGCCAATGTCGTGATGCCTGCTTCAAACCATACAGACTCTTCCACAGCTTCACGACCAGGCCAGATAACCTACCACACCCCTCCGGTAAGCGCATGAAAACGTCTTCATCAAGGTCAGACTGCATAAAAGCCTACTGAATGTCGAAATGGCACAAGGCAAGATTCTGCTCACATGCTAATGCTGCCAACAAGCGCACACTAGACACTGATACGGTGGGTGCAAACGATTCTCCAAAATCAATCGAAGCCCTCTGCATGTCCCCCCGCGCTACAAGTCTTGCCTTGAATTTCGTCGGCCATCCGTACTCGTCTGCCTTACAAATAAAAACCCACTTAGCATTGATGGCGTTCTCTACTGGTTGCTACACCGGACAAAAAGTTTTTGCATCAAATGAACCGAAAAACTCTCGATCGACTGCATCATTCCACAACTCTGAATGCTGAGACCGCATGGCCTCCTTGAACGTTTTCGGCACGCGGAGGTCGCTGGCGAGGCAGTGAGGAAGGTCTGGCATCTTATCGGGCGGGCGCTCGGCGCGAAGAGCGGCGTCCACATCCTCGCCGGTGGCGACCATTGTCGCGAATATCTGCGGTCTCCATCCCCCCCCAGAATCCACGGGCCCCCCAGCTCCCACAGCCCCCCCGCTTCCACGGCCTCCAAGACTCGGATCCGGCTGCGGCGGGGGCGGCAGGTCGCGGCGTCCTTGATCCACGGCCTCCCGAGTGGCGAGCGACGAGATGAGGGAGTCCTTGTCCATCATCGCTAACAGACCAAGACGGTGGTGGAGAGAGGTGCCGCCACCGAACGGCGGTTGTTGTTTTTCTTCCATGAACCGCACTCCATCGCCGTGCGTGCGGCCGTGAACCCTCGTGTCCTTTCGTCCCAACTCCTTGACGGCTCGTTTGGAAAGCGGCGGGTGCGGAGGAGCGGGGGCGGCGGCGCTGGCGGGCTGCGGCTGCGGCGGCGGCAGGCCCGGGGGCGAACGGGGCGGCGTGGCTGCGGTCGACGGTGGGGCTGATGACGGGGCGACGGAAATCGGCGACGGGGCTGAGGGTCCTGTGAAGACCGGCGGGGAGGGGGGCGGCAGTGCGGTGGTCGCTGGGGCATGCGGAGTGTACGTGTAGGTCCTCGCTGGCGGGGGCGGCGTCGGTGCAGCAGCGGCCGCAGGTACGGCGGCGGCCGGCGAGGGCGGCGCGGTGACCGAAGAACCCCCCGATGCCCGGCACCGGCGCCGGCGCGCCTGCCCGGCGGTTGACCCACACGACGTTGTTGGTGAGGGCGAGGCGGCCGGTGACAGCGCGGAGAACGACGGCGGTAGCCGATGAGTGGTTGTTGGCGCCGTGCAGGTAGAAGCAACGCACGGATTGGACGTCCGCTTTGCTGGCGCGCTTGACCCGAATCATCCCCTCCTGGAAAAAAGGGACGACGTTGAGCGGCGGCTTCCTCCCGAAGAAGGCCTCGAACGGCNGACGGGGCGACGGAAATCGGCGACGGGGCTGAGGGTCCTGTGAAGACCGGCGGGGAGGGGGGCGGCAGTGCGGTGGTCGCTGGGGCATGCGGAGTGTACGTGTAGGTCCTCGCTGGCGGGGGCGGCGTCGGTGCAGCAGCGGCCGCAGGTACGGCGGCGGCCGGCGAGGGCGGCGCGGTGACCGAAGAACCCCCCGATGCCCGGCACCGGCGCCGGCGCGCCTGCCCGGCGGTTGACCCACACGACGTTGTTGGTGAGGGCGAGGCGGCCGGTGACAGCGCGGAGAACNTTCAGGGTGTCGCTCTTCGCCCGCATCCCGTACGCCCGTTGCAACCGCGAGGAGCTGTCCACGAACATGATGAGGTACCGGGAGCCGTCCATCGCCTCGGTGAACGGGCCCGTGAGGTCGATGTGGGCCTTTCCGAACGGCACCGCCGCGCGTGTCCCACGCCGTGGCACCGGTGCCTTCCTCCCTTTCGCCTCCACACAGCCCACACATGGCTGCAGCTCCCCGACCAACCGAACACCCTGCTGCTTGGCAGTCTCACGCATCGAAAATTCATTCACGTGGCCGGTGGAAGCGTGGAACAGGTTAATGTCGATGGTGGGCGTGGATTTTCCTACCGAAAATGGGGAAGCACCGGGGGCGATAATCGCCAACGCGTGGGAAAGAGACGGAGGGGCTGCGGCCTGCTGCTCATTGCACTCGGAAAGAAAATCTATCAACACCTCCAAATCATCATGCTGCACAGCAGTGAATGCAAGGGGGGGGGCTCCGCAGACTCAGCTAATTCAAGCGCATCAGGAAAAAAATCACTCGAGGGGACCGTGTCTTTACCATCCATCAACCCAACATCCAGAAACATGCTCATGTCCATGATTGGTAATTCATCCTGGGAGAAAAGAGGGTTGATCTCGATCTCGCGAAAGTCTGTCAGCTCTACGGCAGGGGGAGACACAATCGAAGACGATTCTACGGCAGCCGTAATCACAGGCTGAAAATCGGGGATCGTCGTGGGGGTTGGGTCTACGTCGACTGACGGAAAAGCACAAATCGGAAGCACTACACCGGAAGTGGTAGAGGGGACGCTCGAACACGAAGGTACTACACCGTCGGATCCGGTGGGCTGGACGTCTGCAGTCGAAGGTAAAACGCCGGCCGGTGCGACGGACTGGAAGCCAGAAGTCGAAAGTACAACGCCGTCCGATGCGACGGACTGGAAGCCAGAAGGCGCACTCGCACTCGTGCCCTTTCCTGCACTCCAGGGAGGGGGTGGCCGCAACAAATCCTCTGCCAATGCTAGGCGGGGACGCTTGGGCAGACACACGGAGAGGGGCATCGGGGCTAGAGGTCACAGCACGACCACTGTAATCCTGGGGCAATCGAGTAGCCCAGAGCGAGCATCCTACATCAGAGTATGCAAAGGAAAGCCTACCATCAAATAGGTGGACGCCGGTCTCGTCTAGAACGATACGCTGCCTACGCTGCGTGTGGTGCAAAGAAAAAAGTTGAACGTGATACCAGGCACAACGCACACGTCCGACATCTGCACGCGAAAATCACGCTCTCCTGACTTCTCTTGCATGTGAAAGGCCATGTTGACCTTCCCCACACACTGCACGCGCAAATAAGCACCGTTCCCAACCTGAATGTACTCTTTTCCTGTCAGCACTGGCCCCAAGCCGAACATCTGATGGCTGCTGCTCACAAAGGTGTTGGTCGCACCGCTGTTGGCCCAGAATTTCTCGCTGCCAAAATGGGAAAGCGGGTTTTGTGCAGACAAAGCAAATCCACTACCATTTGCACGCTCGCTACTCGTTACAACACCACTCGGAATGATCTCGCCTGCAGACACGAAACGTGCCATCAAGAAGTGAAGGGAGCCCGGGGGACGGTGCTGCTGCTCCGGGAGGAGCCGAGTAGGGCGGGGCATGGGTCGAATGCTGCTGCTGCTGCGGCGGCTGCTGCTGCTGGAATGTCGGCGGAGGCGGAGGCTGTGGCGGCGGCTGCTGCTGCTCGTAGTAACCCATACTCGCTACCATTCGCGGGCCACCCGTAGGGCGTGGCACTATACTCTTGGTGCATCACGTTTGCATGCCCGTGCGGGGGCCGCCAGTGCGGCTGCTGCGGGCGAGGGGGGGCTGAGTGACCATGCCTTTGCTGCGCTCCGTGTCCGCCGTGAGGTCCGTGCTGAGGTCCACCACCCCAGCCCCCCCCACCGCGGCCGCCTGGCTGCTGCTGCTGTGGGTGTTGAGGACGAGGGTGGTACTGCTCTTGCTGTGGCTGCTGCCGCTGTTGTTGCTGTTGTTACTGTGGCTGCTGTTGCTGTTGCCGCTGCTGCTGCTGCGGCTGTTGCTGTTGCGATGACTGCTGCTACGGCTGTTGCTGTTGCGATGACTGCTGCTGCCACTGATGATGCTGCTGCCCGCGCTCCGTTTGCCGCTGCTACTGGTAGCACTCCGCGTTGGTGTGGTTTGACCACGGATGAAGGTAACAACGTCTCCCCTGGTCTCGCTGCTCCTGCTCCGGCCGTCGCCTTTGCCGTCCTGTCCGCCGCGGTTCCCACTCGACCCAATTTGGACACCTCCGTCGCCCCGGGTTGCCCCGAAGCGACGAAAGCGTGCCCCACGCCACTCTGTTGCTCCTCCTCCCGCGCGCGCACCAGGTCCGCGTAAGCATCCTTCACGGACTGCTCTATCTTCTGAAGGGTCAAATCTGCCATGTTGTGTAGCATCCTTCTCTCAAGGGTGTAATCAGACGACAGGGCAGACACCAGGTGGTCGTTAGCTTCATTGTCTGGGTAAATCGTACCGTGCGAGGCTAGCCTACTCCGTAGAATATAAAACCTCCCGAAGTACTCTTGCGGGATTTCACCACTCTTCATGTAAAAGCTGTGATACTCCTTCAATAGTCTCTTCTTTTCTGCACGCGCTTGAGGCTCGTAATATTTAAGGAAGATCATCCACCGCCCACTCGGACTCCCGTCAGAGACAACCTCTGATAGGATTGGCATGTATGAGATCGATGAAATCAGCAAATTCCATGCCGCTATCGCCTTGGCTACTCTGAGTGCATCAAACTGCGTTCGGAGTTGTGCCATGTTGGCTCCATGCTTGCCTACAGGGATGTCTTCATCACTCATTACAACCTCGTGCACTCCTTCCTGCGCAAAACGTGCTACCATGCTCGACTTAAAAATCAAGAGCTTCTGCTGTAAATCGTTCCCTTCTTGCTTGAATACACCATCCCAAGGTGCAACTCGTCTAGACTCAGTCATGCGGAGGGCCCCAGAGTGGGGTACTGCACCGATGTCGCCGGATGAGGTCTGGAGGCGGCCGGCAATGGCATTCGCGATCGAGTTGGTCAGATCGTCGGCGGAGGGGTTGGGCGATGGGCTCCCAGCTTGCTGCTGGTGTGGTGCCCCTTGTTCCTCGGTCCCACTCCGGAGATCTTCTGTGCTCTGCTGCTCGGCTCGTTGCCGTACCTCCATCTCGGCCATCTTCTCGGCCAGTTTCTGCTCCATCAGCTGCTCCATCCGAACTTGTGTAGCTGTTACTCTCTCGTTCACCAGGTCTTCGATGCGGGAGTCTTCCACTACTTTCTCCGCTGCTCGGCGGGCTTCTTCTTCGCGCCAGGAGCCAGCCATCTCGACCCTGCTCACCATCGCCGCAAAGCGATGCTCCTAAACCACGCTCGACCGCGAATCTCGTAGACGACGTGTCATGCGCTAGCGTCATCGGTAATTCTGGTGGCTCAGTTCTTTGTGTTGGGAGGGTAGAGCGGGTAGCCCATGACAGGACGTGGATGGGTAGGGACGTGCTGGGAAAACGTATTGAATTCTTCGGGGTCGTGCTCGCGCTCGTAAATCTGTCACGGCATCAAGCACGCGTCACGCTCNTTTTTTGTGGCGTTTGCCGTTAGTGTACTGCTTGCCGGGCTTGCCGCGGCCACCTTTCCGTGCCTGGTATCCTCCCACAGGAGGAAGCAAAACAAGCTGTTTATGTTTGCTCAAGAATTCTGGATTATTTTTTCTGCGGGCAACCAAAGAAAAACCAAGACACATGAAACAAATTGGGAGCGCAGGTAAAATGCCGTCTTGCTCACAACGTTTACTTATCGGACTCACCCGCTGCAAACTTCCCAAGATTGCCCTACTATCATTACTATTGTTTCGGCCTC